GACTTCAGTATATTCTTATAGTGGCCTCATTATTTGTTTTGTACAATTTTTGGCATTGTAATTTTTAAAGAATATTATTTTTAATTTTATTTTTAGCATTCAAAAGATTCTTATTAAAACCACTTTATAAATGAAATTGCTAACTAACATTTCAGCATTAACAAATATTTATGTAACAGCATTTTTTAGTACACAAAGATAAAGTTATGAGATTTGAAAACATGCAATTTTCTTAGTAAATAAGGATGGAAAATTTTTAAATGTCTTAATTATCTGTATATGCATGGTTGAATAGATAAAAATCAATCAATCAGTCTGTACCAAAAAATAAAAAATCAACCCCGAACGCTTTAGTTGTTGAGTTGCATGCGCTTTGTAGGCGTGCAGACTGAGTAAGTCATGGCCTACAAAAGAAATTTATTGGCACTGTGGTCCTATATGTATTTTATGCTGTACATTAGAGAAAGGACCACTTTTCATCTTCTTTAAAAAAAATTTATGAGAAAAATAATATATATATATATATATATATATATCCTTTTAATAGCAATAAAAAAAATTGATTAAGTTGATTATTTTGAAGTTTTAAAATGTGAAGGAACCCCATAAAGACAAAGGGACAAATCGTAGCGAAAAAGCGGTTAAATTATATAATAGCTAAGTGTAAGAGTGATAAGTTTTTAAGGAATAACATTCAATTTTTGAATAAATTTCATGAGAAAAGATAATATCATTTTGCTCCAGATTCAAAAAGAGTTGAGATTTTAAAATGAATTGTGCTAATCATGAGTTCATGATTGCATCAACTCTTGTTTATATATCTCAAAAAAAAAAAAAAACTAGAAAATAAAAATGGCTTTTTTATATAATAAAATAAAAATGGCTTTACTACATGTTGGGTGAATTTTTTTCTTTAATTTTTGGTCATGTAGATTTTTGTGAATTTAATTTTTGGACATTAGGGTGAAGTTTTTTTTCTTTAGTTTTTGGTCATGTAGATTTTTTTCTTTTTGTAAATTTCAGTTTTTTTCAACAAAAAAAAAAAACTTTTCCTTTTCTTTTGGGTTTCCACCCCTTTCTTTTTCTTGAGTAAAGGATAAGGGATTTCAAGGCTTGAAATCTGGAACCTAATCCATATCTTTGGCCCAAAAGGAAGCATTCCGCAATGATTTAATTGTGAAAAAACATGAAAAGCCCCCGGCGAGGATCGAACTCGCGACCTTTCGCTTACGAAGCGAACGCACTACCACTATGCTACGGAGGCAATTTATAGAACGTAGTATGTTTATTTATATCAAATAAGTAACACTATCTCTTTCGACTTTACAAATTTACATGGTTCTTGTATAATATATGAGTATTTTTTTTTTTTTTTTCAGTAGGCTAATATATGGGTATTTTATACCCATATTGTGCACTCTAACTCCATGGCTAAAAAAAGATTGTACAGCGTACTTATCATACACTTTAACTTTGCATACTTCTCACTCAGAGGCTTCACTATATAGAATAGGACTCCTCTAAAAGTGAGTAATAAGAGTGTATCTTATTAATTTAATTTAAAACACATTATATTTTAATATGCTAAAAATCAACGGTGGATATATTTTTACTTTTCATTTTACAGAGATAAAATAACTGTTTCGCACAATACATAAATGAAAGAAAGACAAAAAAAAAAAAAGTAAGCACCAAACTCTTAAAAAGATTACCTCTCCTTTTGTTAGTATTTGGGTGTCCTAGAGACAATCTTATGATTAAATAAAGACAGAGATGTAGACCTTTTTAATATTGTCGCAAATAAATAAAAGCACTCTTTATCTTGTTTCATAATTATATCTCGATATTAATATTAATATATTATGAATAACTTGATAAACCCCGTGGAATAAAATAGGTATCTCTTGAGTATCTGTGATGAGATCACAATCATGAGGATTCAAGAATACCGGATGTCTATTCCTAATTTTATGTTCCTAGTCTAGAGATACTGAGAATGGGGTCAGTAATCTCGGGTAAGACTAGCACGACTTATCTATTTGTATATGGATACAAGGTATATACCTCATGTGCTACAGATATGGAGATGTCTTAGCTAAAGTCGTGGGTGGACCTATAAGGGTATAGCTCGCACTGAACGGACCCACAAAGAGACTCTATGAGGAACTCTCACAGAGAGTATCATTAGAGTAGTCTCTTTATATTTGGGTATGTCTTTTCTAAGACCAGAAGTTATTACCTAGATTGTGTTCTAGAAGGCATGCTTTGATTGTGCACCTCGTCTGCCTGAAACATGGAGACTCATAGGTATACTGTTGGGCTTGTCTTGAAAGAACACAGGGCTAGGGTGATAAGCTGAAGGAATTCGTCAAATCTCTGTGAGAGATTAGGTTATCTGTAAACCGGAGAAATCGGGATGACATTTACAAGGACTCGGGAATCTATGCATAGTAAAAGAGATCATGAGATGATCTAGCTTTAGAGTCTGTAAATTGATTCCCTATTTCGAATAAAGCTTACCCTAAACCGCAGAGGTTGATACGCTTCCTTACCCTAGGTTTTATGGGAAGGTAACCGAGACGAAAGGAAATATATACGGCAACCAAATATGTTTAATAGGATGATCAAATCATTAATCTAACTAGTTCTGGGGCAACAAAGCACTGCTAGTGCTCTGTGTTGTCATTAGATGGGTTGTGGGCTTATTGGGCCCAAGCCCATTTATGTCAGTGGCTAAGTTGGACCTAATGGGTCACACACAAACACCTTATTGTCTAGATGCTCTAGCATTAAAGGTATTGGGCATAATAATAGTTATTAGCCCAAGAAGTTGTTTGGAACTCCACCTAAAGGGGTGGAGGGCGCATGGTTCATTGTAATGGGCTTGGATAGTCCAAGACATTACTAATTAATTTAATTAGTTAAATTAATTATCAAACATTTAAATTTTGAATTTTGGAATTCGAAATTTGAATTTTGAAATTTTGAAATTTGAATTTGAATTTCGAAATTCGAATTTTGAATTTGAAATTTGAAATTTGAATTTTGAAATTTGGATTTTGAGTTCGAATTTTGAAATTTGAATTTTGAAATTTGAAAATTTAAATTTTGAATTTGAATGTTTGAATATTTGAATTTGAATATTTGAATGTTTGAATTCAAATATTTGAATTTGAATTTGAATTGCCTATGAAAGGTTGTTTCATAACAAAAGGACAAGATGAGATCTTGTTGGAACAAATCACTAGTATCATGAGAGAATCTTTTGGACAAGATCCAAGGCCATATATGGCGCTGATTTGGGTTGTTGGTGAGCAAGATTTGCTCATCAAAATCAGCTCCAGAAGATTCAGTCAGTTGGGAGAAAATCTGAGTGAGTTGATTCAAATTTGAATGCAACTACTCAGATGTATCTGGTCACCTTTTTGGGCTATATGGGGCGCACCATATAGCTGATCTTATGAAGATTTCTGATCAGAATTTTGAATAGGTTTTGAACCAATTCTCAAGAGAATATTCTAGGAGACTGTGAGCAATTTTTGAAATAAAACAGCTCCACTTCTCTCTCTCCAATCTGGCGCCTAATGATCAGATTTTTAGGAGAAAAATCTGATTGGTAGTTTATTTTAAATACTCTCCTCTTATGCGCCTATGTGATCAGCTATGAAGCACCGACACTTCAAAATCCTTGATGTGTCGTGTCCGACACTTTCCGACACTCTTCGACACTCCGACACTCCCCGACACTCTAACACGTGTTATAGAAATTCAAAAAAAGGTTCAAAGGTTGCGTTGCGTTGAGTTTTTAGTTTCAACTATTAAATTCGTTGAATTTCGATTACCATTTTATTAAGTTTAATATAAATATTTGGGATATGTTATGTTTCTTTGCAAAATTGATGAATAGTATAAGTTTAATTTCATTTTTTTTTTTAAATTATTGAATATTAAATATAATATACACTACATAAATTAAAAATATTATTTCATATCAAAACGTGTCCTAACGTGTCGAAATCTAACATTTTTTAGAATTAACGTGTCGGAGTGTCGTGTCGTATCGTGTCACGTGTCCCGTGTCAGTATCAGTGCTACATAGGTGATCAGTTGCACCAAGGGTTTTTCTGAAAACCTAGCCTATTCTCTCCTCTCTCCTGCGCCACTTGTGAAGCTTTCACATTGAGAGCTTCACTTTTTCAAACACTTTCACCTAGCCTCCATCTTCACACATAGAGCGCCTAGCAAGCCTCTTTGTGGTGATCATACGGTAGCTTCACAAGAAGGAGTTCTTGCACCTAGACGAGTGGGTGGTGTGGATCAACGTTAGAGGGTCTGAACCCTTCAGACCGGCCTTGATCATCTGGTGATTTCACGAACAAGGTAACATCATGCTTTCCTAAAGCATGATCTTGATGTGCATGTATATTCCGCAAAGAAAAATTTTGTTTTTCCCTCTTGCATGCATCGGCTTTCAAGTCCATTTCGAACTTTCACCTTTAACCCTTTTAACGTAGCCATTGAAGTGCCTTTACAAGCAAACAATTATCTTGTTCCATGACCAAAATACTGCTGCTGAAAATGAGACAGAAATTTGACCCTCTTGTTGGTACATAACCTAAATTATTAAAAGACAATTTTTTTTTTTAATGCAATGAAATAGAATCAGTTGTAATTCCACACTACGTTCAATCGGTTATAATTTTTTTAATGCCATAGTATGCAATTTTACTTGCTCCATTGTATATTATTTTCTCCAGTTTCAATATATATCATTTCCTAATTTTTTTTTTTCTCCAGTTTCGATTAGGTGGGCAACTTGTAAGTTATAACACATTCATGACATGAAAGTTGGAGTTATTACAGGAAGCCATTAGCTCAACAATCAAAAGATAGATGTTTCACATCATGAAATTTTAGTTTTTATGAAGTATGTATACCATAAATTCATGGTAAGTCAAATTTCTTATCACCTTAGCAGAAAAAATAATCAAAAGCTCTAATCTTGACATAAATTAAAAAAAATAAAAATAAAAATAAAATAAAAAGGTATATGCAAATGAAAAGAAGGTGCTGATAGAACTAATATCAGTGAGAAAGGGAGGAATGGAAGAAACTACTTTCCAAATAGCTTCCTGCGCCTAACCAGTGACTTGACTCGCAAGCTAGCTGCTTCACCAATCACAACCTCATCTACTAAGTCCTTAAATATCAGTCTCTCAACATCCAATACAAACCCAGGTATTTCACCATGGAAATCAGTGAAACTTTGTGAGCCTTGCATCACATCTTCCCATAGCATACTTTTAAGACCATCATCCTGTTCATCTTCTAAGCAGCATTCTTGCTTCTTGGCTTGAAATTTTTCTATCTCAAAGCATAGTTCTTTAAGAAGCTTTTGAGCACTGAGGGTTTTCTTTGTGAGTCTGTTATAATTAGGCTGAAACCATGGCTCAGTGGAGAAGCCTAATTTTGCACCAAGAATCTCATTCACAGCATCAAAGATGAGCTTCCTGTGAATTTTCTCTGTATTTATTAGCTTCAAGTAAGCAACTTTTCCGTGGCTGGTTTCTTCTTTTGAAAGCAAACTACTTGCCTTGGTCTGCTCCAAGACAAGGAATAACTCGGGGTTAATGGGATGACCCGATGAGTGAAGTTGAAATGTCAACAATTCGGAACTTAGATCTCTGAGTAAGAGACCTGAAGCTAATAATATTTCTGAGATGTATCTGTGGTCTGGATTTGTGTTTTCACATAGGGAAGCAATGTAGTCGATTCTAGCTTCATCATGACTCGAGTTCAGCTGTCTAAGCTTCTGAACAAGGTTATCTATGTTCTGTAGTTTCTTGCGGTTGATCTCTCCGGATCCTGTGCTGTTAAATGAAAGGCTATCTGAAGGGTTCCACAGATCTTTAATCTCTTTTTCTTTAGATTCTTGATCATCATCAGCTGCATAATTTTATCTTAAAATGAGATAAGTAAAACAAGAAACAAATTCACAACTTTTAGACAATGATGATATATGACATATACAACTAAGATCTATTTGTTAAATCTTCAGGCCAACTTCAGGAAATAAAGATTAAGCAAGGAAAAATGTACAAAGCCTAATTTTTTTTATACATGCCCATCACAATTTCATTTATTATGTTTGATGCACAATGCACGAGTCTTTTCCTAGAAGGCACCAATACCATTGTTGCCTTTTGACAGTTTGACTAATTCTTGACGTGCATACACTTCAAATATCACTTAAGGCTCATTGCAAAACCAGAAATTCAGTGGTCAAACAGAAAGAAATATCGTATCTACGGGCCAAATCTTACATTTACTTTGATGCACAAGTGCCAATACAAGCATGATCAACTGACATTCTCTAATTGTTACCACTTGTCACTCCCTTATTAAGAAGAATTTTCAATGTGTTGCTTGAGGAAAATGTGAAGAGTTTTCTTTATATAAGTTGCAATTACTCCTGATGCTAAATCAGTAAGAATTTATCGTACAATTTAATGGGATTTAAATATAAAGTATGATCAGTAGAGGTACTCTGGATCTTAACTTTTTATCCATATTTAAAAGACATCAGCTATACCTTTTGGATCTTCAGATATCTGCTTTACTGGGGATGGCACATCATCTCTGTACATTGAGCCGTCAAGAACTGAGATAGGACTTGGGTGTTCTGCTGCAATTGTCACATCCTCATCCAACCTTGTAGTTGATGTCTGGAATATTAAGCAAAATATACATGTTGTCAACTGATAAATGCAATATGCTATTGCTAAAATTGAAATTTTTATCATTTGTCCTAACTAGAAAGCTTGATTTTAAAAAGATGAAAATGGATCCTACTTTTTGCACTGTTTCTGAAACCAATTGCTTCATAGCCTTCAAGGATGGGCTTTGACTGTCATAAATTTCAGCAGATTGTAAACTACTGGTGACTTCTATATCCATATTTGAGTTGACAGTGATACTGTCTGATTGCAGAGAAATTTCATCCCCTTGGCAACTTAAACTTCTTGATTCATTGCTTATCTCACTCAGTTGCACATCACTAAGCTGCGAGCTTGGGACTTTGGGTCTTCGTTTTCCACCTTGGAAACCTGATTCTGTTGCTTTCTTACCCGACTGCCTTCTGGGTTTGTTTGAATCTGATGTTGAGGCAGACGGACGAGATCGCTTCTCTAACTCCAACTTCTTCTGTTGCAATGTTGGGCTCACAGATCCTGACTGCTTTACTGAACTTTGGCTAATTTCTTTAGGAAATTGTTGAGACCTTGATTGAGATTGTGTTGATCTTGTACTCTTGCTACTACTTGCTTTCTTATCAATGGAATTGGCTGAAGTATCCCGGAAAATGTTTTTAGGAGACTGGTCTTTTGCTAATTGAGTAGAAGATGTACCATTTTTGTTATCTACATATACACTCCCACTCTGAAGTTTATGAGAACCAGAAAAGCCACCATTTGGAATGGCTGAAGAAGCAGAAATACCATTTTTCTCAACAAGTTTTGCAGGTTTCATTATCACTATTGGGGATTCAAAAGCCCTTGCTGAATCAGATACCTTGATTGTGGAAGAGAGAAAATTGTTTCCCTGAGGACTTTGCTGCCTTACTGACCTGGAATTCTGAATTAGATTGGTAGCTTTTGGTTCATAGTCACTTTGACTTCCAACAACATTTGGAGCATGATCTTCTTTTCTGCTCTCTAGCAGCCCCTTTTCTTGCATTGCTTCCAATATCTGTTTTAGTGCTCTGAGATCCCTTCCAGATTGTTTGAATTCAAGATCCTTCAACCTCTTCTCTATTTCACTATAAACTGAGGGAAATGAATCTGGTGTTCTTGCTGGAGCTTTTATGGCCCTTTTCTGAGTGCTTCGATTTCCATCCTGATGCTTCCATGGTGCAGGTTCAATGGGAAACCTTGAACTTGAGATAGGTTTCATAACCAGATCAGTGTGCTTCCTCCGTGGGGAAGTTGGATCTTTCAATGAGCATTTTAGAGAATTAGAAACTCGGAGTTGTCTGGTGAGTCCTTTTTTCGATGATCTTGGAAACTGACCATTATCTGTGGCTGAATAAGTTTCAGTTGAACTTGATTGAGTATCACAAGCCAAATGGGAATTCGGTAATGCTTCCAAGCCCATTAATTTTGCCACAACACTGGGATGCCGACTCTGAGTTGCTGAAGAGTGTTGTAGGCTAGAGAACTTGTCATTTGAGGAGGAGGTGCCACTGCCAACATTTCTTGAGAGGTGACTGGGTTTGGAATCCGATCTGTAAGCGCGATATGAACCTTCCTTACCATCCAGTGAAAGTCTAGGAAGCTCTTTTAGCTTTGGTGTGGATTTGATGGTATCTCTTGATTCAAAAGATAAACGACTTATTTCTCTACCATCATAAGCAAACCAAGGAGCATCCTTCGATATGGAATGCCAATGCCCGTCTTTTACTTCATGTGATGATCTTGGATGTTCTCTAGTTTCTGCATAATACCAAGGTGTTTCTCTAAGTTTAGTAAGGACTCGGATAGACTCCTTTAGATCAATAGGCACACTTTGTTTTCCATCTATTCCAACTCTATAAGACCCATCAACAGATTTTGACATCTGAAGAGGTCTTGGTGAATCCCTATGTTTCATGGCATGAATGGAAGCTTCCTCTTTGGCTGTAGTTTTCGCTGACAATCCTCCTGCATCCCTATACATAGAGTCCTTCACCACATCCCTCAGGTCAAGGGAGTGACGTCCTAAATGGGGGAAGATAGTTGGTTGGTTCATAACTGCATCCCTTGAAGGAGTTTCAGGAAAAATAATCCGGTTCACGGTTGCCTCTGCTTCAGCCTTACCATCCAGAGAGGACAATGATGATGAACAAGAAGAGAATGATGCTCTTGATGATTCTGTTGAAATTCTTTGCTTTTCGTTCACACCCTTGGTTAAGATTGTATCCTGCAATGAATTCACTATTCTGCATAAGCCCAGTTTCATTCAAATGCTTGCATTTTATTTTTCATACAACATGATAATTACAAATACATGCATCAACACTAGAAAGTATCAGTACGTAAAAATTTTTCAGGAAAAACATAAACAGAATTCAGATGATTGTGCAGAAATCAAGGAGATGGATAAATCCTGAAAATGATTCTAATGATTAAAACATTCTAACAAACTTTCTAAGAAAACATTTTAACATGCTGAAAATATGTTGATGGATCAGCATATGCATACTTGATATGCTAACAAAACGTCCATGCCTCAACTTAAAAATTATTCAATCAATTTTGAACTGCAAAACAGTAAAAAAATTTTTGCCAAAAGTGAGGGGAAAAAGAAGGTTCTTACAGTTTCTGTTTCTTGATGGTGTAAGCTATTAGAATCCCTTTCCAAGCTGCCATCATTGAAGTGGGAATTACCTGAGGAAAACAGAAGATTAGATATAAATACAATGAAACTGAAACATATGACCAAGAACCAACTATTATGCAAATGACATGAGCTGATCCCCCTCATTGAGAAGATATTTAAAATAACAAAGATTCAGAATGATCTTACATTTTTTCTTTAAAAAAAAAAAAAACTACAGATAAATTATCACAAGCAAATTCAAAAAGATTGGAAAACATCTAGAGGAATACCAGAAGGAAGCCTCTTCTGGCTAATGCGAGCAGCAGTGAGAATATGGTGACGATCAAAGAGTTGGAAAATCCCAGTCATGCATCCTATCTGCTTCTGATGATCTGAGTTCTCTTCTGCTAAAGAATGCAGCAACTTTGCAGCCATATCAACCTTTTCTCTTCCAATTAAACTCAACTCCTCAACCACCACAATCAATTACACCCTCTTCATTAAAAGCTGAATGATTTATTACTCTCAAATCTACTTACACAACACTGCAAAGTTCCAACCCCTTCTGGAAAATGATTATGATTCTACTACTAATTCAACAACATGCAATCCAGAATTTCATGGATCATAACCAATTGTGCTTAAAGATAAGTAAATGAACCTCCTTTCTCTTCCTTCACCCTCAAAGCTTTGTGAAAGCAACAATTAGTGTTGTCCTAACCCTGATAACTAGAAGAGAATGGAACAGTTTCCACATTTCTCTAGTCCCATTTGAAGATCAAGCATTAAGCATTCAGAAAGAAGCTTTCCCAGCTCCAAGTAAACAATTTTCTGGATAAAACAGAAAATATCCTCAAGCCACTTTAATCAAATTCTACAGATTTGTGTTCTTAGAAAATGAAAGGAAAAAAAACTTTATCACACTGAAAAACTAATAGTCCATTTTTGAGTTGTGAACAGCTTTTCCTAAATCTCCTCAGCACTTCCAAAAGCCAGGGAAAACTGCAAGATGAAAAGTAGTATCCCAGAAAGCTTAATCAATTGTCATCACTTGCTAGAAAGAAAACCTTGTTGGGTTTCACAAAACAGACCAGAAAATACCTTGCATGATAATAGCCACAAACAATCCAAACAAAGAGGGAGAGGAACTATTATAATACCCTCTTACAATAAGCACACAATAAGAAGAAGACGAAGAAGAAGAACAGTAGCTTAAACCACCAAAAGTGAAACTAATGCCAATGCAAAGTGCAAACTGTGAAGGTATCTCAAAGGAAGGAAAGACAAGTAGAAGAGAAAGGGTGATTTTATTTTATTTTATTTTTTTGGGTTTTCATAAAAATGGGGAAAACAATCTGGTTAGAGCTGGCACAAAGGTTTCGCTTTTTTTTTTTTTTTTTTTTTTTGGTTTTATAAGAGTTATGTTGTAAGAAAAATAATTGTGTTATGTTCTAGAGATTCATTTTAGGTGCAGTAGTTTTTTTTTTCTTCAAAATATGCAGGTCCCACAAAATATTATGTGTGTGTAAGAAATTTTTTATGATTATGTTAAATGACGAATACAAACCACATTTTTTTATCAAATTGTTAATGTTTTTATGGTTTTAGAGGGAGAAAGAGGGTAGGACATGTTTGTGTGGGTCAGATGTCATATAGGCTCTAATATCTCACAAGTCAAGTCCATCATGATATGATATGCATGTGGGATGAGGATGTGTGGGAGCGAAACTGTCTGCATGTGCATGTGAGTGATATTGTCAGGACAGAGAGGGAGATGGTGGGTGAGTTCAACGTAGCCAGAAGTGGATTTGTCATTTATCTAAGTATTTGGAAAAAAAAAAAGAATTTAATTGACGGTGTTATATTAATTTGGAATGGATAAAATGAGTATAATTAAAGAAAAAAAGACTTCTCATGTATATGAGAAATCTCTTTTTCTATTATTCCTCGTTTTGATGTTTGTGCTAATTACTTTTTTATTTTTTAAAGGTGAGTCTTACTCTGTTTTTTTAATGAAAAAATTTTAATTTCTCTTTCAACATAAGAATTAAAAGCCCATAATTTAAATGTCATTCAAAATTTTGGACCACAATTTAAATGTTCTTTAAAATTTTAGATTAAGACATAATATCTGGTTCTTTCATTATCATAAATTAAAAAAAAAATATAGGTAGGTTCAACATAATAAAGATAGCAATGAGTAGAGTTACATTTTATTTAATTAAAAAAATTTAGATTAGGGAAGATACACTTACATGTAAGGTTAGAAAATATTATCAACCCAACATGAATAAACATTTAAAGTAAAGTTATACATGTCCAATAGATTGAAAAAGTTAAAAACCAAATCCAAATTAACTTATTTAAACAAAGGGTTTATTATCTATCATTTAACATGACCACAAAAAATTTCTTACACACACAACATTTTATGAGGCCTGCAGCAAAAAAAAAAAAAAAAACTTTGACATGCAAAACGAATCTCTATAATATAACACAATTACTTTTTCTACAACATAACTCTTATAAAACCCTTAAATCAAATATGCCAACCCTTCAAAAAAAAAAAAAAAAAGTTGAATCAAACACAAGGATGCTTCTCTCCTCTCACTACCGTTTACCAGCTGCAAAGTGAAAAGTCCAACCTTCCCTTTTCAAACAGTTGTCAGCTACCGAATCCTACACTATTACCAACAAGTGTGTATTTTTCTTTTCTTTTCTACTGACTACTGCTTTACAATTTTTTAAGTAACGACATTAGTCCTTATTCGAGCATATAATCCACATAATATTTTAAATAAATCGAGTCCTTGTTTAATAAGTAAAATTTATTCACACGATAGCTCAGATTGACTAACGACAACTCGTGGTTATTAAAAGTGTATGTGCGAGTACATATAAAAGCACTCATTCATTGTTTTCTTGTTTTACATACCAGGAAGCTACCGTTAAGCTATATATTAAAGGATAATATTTCTATCATGTAACATGATATAGAAGAGTATTCTTACTCACACATTGAATATTATGTCATCATTTCTTTTGTTTTTCATTTTTTTTCATGATGGGTCCCACCAAAGTTTGTTTGTGTAGGAAATCGGTTTTGTATTATGTTACATAACATATGTATTTCTCTATATTAAAATGATAAAGAGATACATTATTTAATGTTTTTATTTGATAGTTTAAATTTTCAGGGAAATTCAAGTCATTTTTTTTTTCTACCTTGTGGACAAGAGTCTAATAATATCTGCTTCTATTCTTCCAATTAAATAACTCATTTAATATTTAAGAAAATTTTACTTTTTAAGAAAATTATCACACTTTGTCAAAAAAATTAGGAAATGATATAAAGTTTTATTCGTGGGATAACATTATTAAAGTTAAGTATGATGTGTGGGGTTTTTTTTTTTTTAATACATATATGTACATGAAGGAAACTTAGGTACATAAATAATATAATAATTCCGACTTTTATAAAGAGTGTTGCTTAGCAAGAGCAAGAAAGTCTCCATTCCTTAACCTAATGCGCGGTTTAACATATATATGGATAAACATGTTATTGAAGACAGTAGGTGATATTATATCACTAAGAGGTTTGAATCATGTATGTTAGAAATATATTGTAATTAGGGTTTCTTTATTTTGTATTAGATCTGATTACATTAGGTTTGGGCTTAGCCCATTAGTTTGTTTATATATTGTACATCCTTCATCAGTTAATACACACAGCATTATTTCAAATGTTCCTCTCTTTCTCTCGTTATTTAACATGGTATCAAGAGCCTAAGGAACTTTGAAAAAAAAAAATTTCGGTGAACCCACTGTTCATCGTATTTTACAATTTTTTTCCCAGAACTGTCTCGTTGTCAGTTTCCAGATGATTTTCTTCCGCATTCACGCTTCTGTACCGTCAAACACCACCGTCCGGTGGTATTTTCCGGCACGCAGCCTACCGCCATGATCGTCTTGACAACGCGGTCACAACGGCACCGGCCGCCCCCTTAGAAGACATCCCACGCGCGCGTGCAAGTTTCAGCACCCTCCTCCAACCAGCGGCGCGTGGAGCCTCCTTTCCGGCTGCGGCTGGTTGCGATTTTTTCGTCTTGCTGAGAAGATTCTGGATCCGGTCTTGTTTTTCTGTTTCGACATCTTTTTGCGTTGACGCGCAGATCCCTCTTCTACCGGTTAGTTGTGTGATATGTTCTTTCTGATTTTTTTTTTTTTTTTTTTGATTATGGACTCTCCTGTCTCCAATGTTTCTGTTTCTGGGACTCCGGCTTGACAAAAGTCGGAGTCTACTATTTTTTCAAATTATATCCTTGCTCCGTTGAGTGTGGATAAATTGGATGGGTCCAACTATGATTCTTGGTCTTCCGATCTGCGACTTTGGTTGGATGGCAGAATTATCAATCCCATCTTACCGCTAAGGCTGAATCTGTGGCAGAAAATGACCACACACGATGGAAGATGATTGATGCTCAGTTGTGTAGTCTCATTAAAGCTACTATTCATCCGTCTATTAAGCAGATTTTTCGACCTGCTAGTACTTGTGAAGTTGTTTGGATTCAGGAAAAAGCACTGTACACCAATGATACCCAGAGATTCTGTGGTGTGTGTCAGAAATTGATGACTACATTTGCTCCTCGGGACTTCCATTGTCCTATGACTGAATATTTGGGGAAAGCTCAGAGTCTACTTCATGATCTTAATGAACTTCTGCCTCTCACTGGTGATGTTACTAAGGAACATGAACAACGTAATACACTTTTTATGTTGTTCATTTTATATGGTTTGCCTGACCATTTATCTGCCAATCGGGATCAAATTTTGGGATCTGCTACAGTTCCTACACTGGAATCCGTGATGTCTACCTTGCTTAGAATTCCCTCTAAGCCCTCTATGTCATCAGTACCTCCTATGATGCATATACCCCCCAGTGGATTCTGTTGACTCTTTTGCTCTTGCTGCTCAAGGGTATAGTCGTGGACGTAGAGAAGATTCTGTTGACTCTTCTGCTCTTGTTGCTCGAGGGTATGGTCGTGAACGTCGATTCTCTAAAGGAAAGCTATTATGCACTCATTGTCATCAGACCAATCATACTGTTGACCGCTGTTGGAAGCTTCATGGAAGGCCATCTTCACCTCCTCGGAATGCTCATGTTGCTCAGGCTTTCTCTAGTACCTCGGCTCCAGAGTTACCTTCCAGTGCGCAACCTCCAGCTGCTCTTCTGAACGAATTTGTGACTTGGTGGTCTGAGAAGCAAACATCAGGTCCTATTGCATCCATTGCTCTAACTGGTAATTCTTTTGCTGGCATCTCTCAGTTGCACTCTATAGGCCCTTGGACTCTTGATTCTGGGGCTTCTGATCACATTTTTGGTAATAAGTCCTTATTCACTTCCTTTGTACTACTGGTTCTTTTCCCACTATTACTATGGCCAATGGGTCTCTGGTCCAATCAAGGGGGATTGGCACGGTTCTTCTTTTACCCAATTTATCTCTGGATCATGTTCTATATGTTCCCGATTCTCCTTTTAACTTATTTTCTGTTAGTCGTTTGACCAAATCC